AAATTGGGCAGAAATTGGACAGAAAATTGTATAGTGTAAGGCCAGCCTAAAGCAAGACCTGACCTGGATTTGCTCACTGCATGAATTTTCAGAGGACTGCTGTTCTGAGATAAGTCCCTTGTACACACTAACCTTGCCATTAACAGATGTAGTTTAGCAGACTCTTTAAAGAGAAAGCTATACTCTTCTATTGGATATGTTCAATAAAATAGCTATTATACTCTATGCTATAATGCAGTGGTCTCTAAAGTGTGGCCCTGGCGCCAGATGTGGCCCTTTACTTTGCTTTATCAGGCCCTTGGAACAACATTCCTTCCACTAAGACCAAATATGGGGCATTGTAAACAAGTGGAAGGACCCCGCTGATCACATCACCGGTCTGTGGGCTATATATAGCAGGCACGGTCCCACAGCAGTCCACGCTACGCACGTGATCACCACGTACTGGCAGTGCTCTGTGTGTCTCCTCTGTCTGTAATTTACATTTACACTCTGCACAACGCCACTATGTGCGATGGGATGACCCCTCTGATTATAAATAAATGCACATGATGATTACTTTATTATTATTTTTAATTATAATAAATTTATCATATAATTTAATGATACTTTATATTATCGTGTAAATGTCCCACACTGCTATCTGGTTTGTGTGCGCAGACTCGGCTGTAACGAGAGGGAGGATGGTAGGACCCCTGTTATGGAGAACAGATAGCTGGGGCCGTCGGGATAGAGGGGGGCGATTTTTTATTCTATTTTCTGTCACGTCACATATTCTGTGTGTCAATGTGCCAGAAAAGAGCCAGTGTTCTGTGTTTGTCTGGGCTAGTTCATACCACATTATCATTCATCTCCTTCAGAAACACATGGAAAATGCACAGGAGAGCACAGAAATGCATCAGGAACCCAGATGTCCTGAACTGAGCTGAAGCAAATAGAGAAAACACAATGGAAAGCTTCAAACAAACTCCAGAATGCATGGAAACGCACCAGAATGTACATGTCCTGAATTGCGATGAAGAAAAACGCACCAGAAAGCTTCCAAAATGCATGAAAAGTGCACCGGAATGCATGTAAATGCACCATAAATGCACTGGAATACATGTAAATGCACCAGAAAACATGTAAACGCATCTGAATACATGTAAACTTACCAGAACCGTACCGGAATACATGAAAACGCACCGAAATACATGTATATGCACCGGAAACACGTCAGAATTTGTGTTCTTCAAATGCTCTTACAAATCCAGATATTATCTTGTAAAAGTAGCAGTAACAACATCACTATGCTGCATAGCAGGCAACAGTGCCTCCAGCTCTCTCTCCTGGACCACCCAGGGCTCCACCCTGTGATCTAACTAAATCAATCAGTAGAGCATGAGACTTTAAATCTCAGGGTCGTGGGTTTAAGCCACACATTAGGCATATTACATTGCAAAGATTTTTGTGGAGCTTAGTGGTATGAGAAAGAGATGGAGACACTGTGGGCTGCTTAAAGTGACATTAAAGGCAATTTTTTTTTCTTTTTAAAATAACAAACATGTCATACTTACCTGCTCTGTGCAGCTGCAGGCATCATCCTGATATAACCACTAAAACTCTTGTGACGTACGGGTACGTTGCAGGGTGTCAAATGGTTAATAGGAGTCAAGAAGTGGAAAGGAAACGTGGTTCCCAACATTACTGAACTGACCAGACATGCAGATGTAATATATACCTAGGAAAAAGTATAGCATATCAAATGGACAAACAGAAAACATTTCATGAACCTTGGTATCTGTGGCTAGTATTTAGATTAGTGTAATGCAGGGCTCCTTCAGACTGTCAGTTTAAGCGGTCTGTTTGTAACTTGTACTGACAGGCAGTTACACAATGACAGGAACTATCAATGAACTACGTAGAGCAGCCTTTCTCAACCAGGGTGCACAGGCACCCTGGGGTGCCTTGAGGTTTCTTCAGGGGTGCCTTAACAAAACGTCTAAAAATTGTCCAAAACTTGTATACTAGCCAGTGGGTGGAACAAGCCTGCCTTTTAGTTACACAAAGCCACAGGTTTTCATTGTGCACCTATACAACCTTTTAGCCACCGGCGTTCTGACAACCAATGACATCAGTTGATAAGGCAGATGTCAGCTGTCTGCACAGCATCCTTGTTTGACCCTCCCCTGCTCCTCTCCATCAGTGCTGGGGTCAAATTAGCTCAGTTATGGAGAAAAACAGAGGGAGAAGAGAAACACTGGAATACTAGTCAGTACCAGTGTGCAAATATGTCCTTGCTTTGGAAGAATAAATCACCTCTAACGTTGGGTGTCCTACATGTGTGGATGTTGCTGCATTATATAAAACTATTAGAATTGTTTTTCACATTTTAGAATGGGGTGCCCTTTTAAAATTATGGACAGTCTTGAGGCACCCCATTTTAGAATGGGTCCTCAAGACTGTCCATAACTTTAAAGGGTGCCTCGGGACTGTCCATAATTTTAAAGGGTGCCTTGACTGAAAAAAGGTTGAGAAATGCTGACCTAGAGTACTCACCAGTGCTCTGGTAGCTCACGGAAAACTACAAGCCGTCCGTCTCAAAGGCTGACAGTAGCGGTAGTTTTTTTCCATTCATTTAAACTGTGACAGTGAGTTTGGGGAGAAGATCCCCGGCTCACTGTCACTAGAGGTGGCAGATTGGGAAGAGGCTGCAGCAGTTGGAACATGTTCCTCCCTAAAAACAGGTGGAACGTGTAACATATTCCCAAAGGTGAACTTATCCTTTAAGCAAAACCATAATCAGTATAGCTTTTAGTGTATGGTGACATTTGCAGTGCACTGTATTCTCCAGGAACACCTGTCCTTCCTGGTGAAATACTTGAGCACCATGTTTACATGTATGTCTCTGCCAGAAACTAAACTTTTTCTTAACTAAAGACTTGTTATTTTAAGACCGCCATGTCACCGTCTGTTTGTGCATAAAGGATTTGCAGGGAGACTGTCTGGTTCAGGAGATGTCATTTCTAACTCCAATTCACAGAGCTGGAAGGACAAATATAATTGAGGTAGCATTTTTGTAGAGGAGAGGTACAGATATAAGCCTTGTCTGGGGCAGCTTATGTGAAATCAGGTCATACAGCTTCGAACGGCCTCAGAGCGACATTGTCTCGTAAACAGGAAAAGCCAGCATGTTTCCCTGCAAGGCTGAGAATAAACATCTAAAATGCCTGCATTATATGCTTCTGTGTAGCAAAACAACTTCACCTCATCTAAATGTGCAGGGCACTACTTTGAAGTGTATCACAGACACCATGCTGCTCATGATTACTAGAAGGGGATTTTGTATTAACTTAAAATCAATACAAAAATCTGTACAAGGTTTAATAAGGGACAAAAAATACAAAGGAACAGGTCCCCCAAAAAAATTGTATCCATTTATACAACAATGGCAGACTGTGTGTGTGAATAAACAGGTTATTTTTTTTTTCACATTAGCGGTGGGGTTTGGCTTAGGCTTGCTCATAAAGAATAAATACCTGTCTTAGAAGGGGTCCAGAAGAACACACAGACAGTCCACCAGGAGACTGAATATATCTGAATACCACATCCTTCTGGGCCGGTTCTGTCACTGGAATCCACTGGGGAGCCCGGGACTGCAGTATGTGGTCAGGTGGATTGCCCACAGAGGAGATGGAGGAACATTCATTCCCATTTCTCCTCTGTGACAAATTAAGTCAGAAGCGACAAAGATTTTGTCACTTCCACTTTCAGTGCTGTCATTCCCTGGCTGGTACAGCCAGGGAAGCATCTGATCAAACACGATAGGTGTTTAAGCAAATGTTTGGAAAGGCAGGGGAGGCATCAGGGGTCTAATCAACCCCTGATTTTTCAGTAAAGAGTACCCGTCACTGCCCAAAGCTAACACAAGGGGCTTGCTTACCCCGCGTGATAGCGATAAGATAAAGTCGGAGTTCCACCCAAAAGTGGAAGCTCCACTTATCTGCCCCCCAACTTTTGGGGAGTGAGGGGGGAGCGGGTACCTGATTTTGACAGTTACCCGCTCCCATTTCCGGGTCAGTTCGCTGCAGTGAAATGAGCCGGAAGTTCGTCCTCCCCCTCCTTCTACCCATAGCTCTCTGGAACATTTCACAGGTCCCAGATGACTGCAGCCCATTCACAAAGCACAAACACGATTTGTGCATGTACAGTAGGAAACTGGCTGTGAAGCTGCAAGGCACCTAACAGCCAATTAAAGAATAGGCTCAGGGTGAGGACACTGGTGAATCCCTGGACAGATAAGTGCCCTTATATTAAAGGTCAGCAGCTACAGTATTTGTAGCTGTTGACTTTTGGGAGAAAGGTGGGCGGAACTCCTCTTCAAATTAGAAAAAAAATATAAAAACATTTAAAGAAAAAAAAGAAAAAAATTAAAAGCACTCTGTCCCACCGTGCAAATGCTCACATAGGTCCAGCACACATATGTAAACAGAGATTACACCACACATGTGAAGTATTGCTACAATCGTCGGAGTGAGAACAATTCTAGTGCCACAGCTCACGTTTAACTGTAAACCACAAAAGACTGGGCCCACAGCTTAAACTTGATTGGACGTGTATAAACTCAGTGGAAGCTGCTCCTAAAACTCATATGACCTGTATTTTACTCATCATCAGTTTGGATCAGTGCTCCTATTATGGTGTGTCTGATAACTTGTAAAGCCTTTTAAAGCATTGTTTATGGATAGTTTTAGGTGCCGTAATTTGTTGCCATTTCACAGACATGCGCAATTTTAAATCTTGACATATTTGGTATCCGATTACGCCAGGGCTTAAAATTTCAAGTCCTGAGCTACTAGCCAGGCCTTAAGAGTTAGTCTCCACCAACAAACACACGCAAACAGAGACACCTGTACACACACACAGACATGTACATACACACACACAGAAACATGTACACACACGCACAGAGACACATGTACTCACACACACACCTACAGACACATGTATACACACACGCATACACACAGATACATGTACATACACAAAAATACACATGCACAGACACATGTACATACAGACACATGTACGTACATACACACACACACACACACATATACATGTAGATACACAGACATATGTACATGCATACACAGACACAAACATGTACACGTACACACACACCCCCCCATAAAAAGTTGCAGTACTTTGTTGTTCACTCACAGAGCCGGGTACTGCACTCTAGGGGGAGGCAGAGAGCACAGCACACACTCCTTTCTTTGCTTTCACTGCGCTCAGCTATTGAGCAGTCTGATGGCTCCCAGTGCCAGTGACAGATCCAGCCTGAGCTCTGAGCCTGCTCAGCAAGACAGACCTGGGGGACATACTTGCCCCCACCATAATTTCCACTCACCATTGGCGAGCAGGCGAGTTTAAATTTCAAGCCCTGGATTACGCGATGCAATGTAGTTTACCAAAATTTCTTAAAATATACTATATTGTGTTTGTGTGCACTAAAAATCATTGAAAGTGTTAGTTCACCTGTACAAGAAAAAAAGTAAAGATGACCTAACAACGGGCACCCTCCCCAGTCCCTGCTGTACTTACCTCTGGGGTTGCTGAGCTGTCAGCAATCCCGCAGTCATTCCAATGGCCTGGGAATTTGAAATCCCTGCTGATCTTCATATTCTTGGTCTGTACTTCCAGTGTGCACTAGATGAATTCTGATTGGTCATTGCTGAGTAAATAAATACCAAACATGTTAAGATTTAAAATTGCACATGCCTGTGAAATGGCAACAAACTACGGTACCTAAAATTGTCCATAGGCAATGATTTAAAAGCCTTTACAGGTTATCAGTTTAGAGTTAAACATAAGCTAGGGTGCTAGAATTATTGCTCTCAGTCTGCCGTTAGTAGCAATACTTCACATGTGTGGTGCAATCCCTATTTGCATATGTGTGTAGAACGTACATGTGCATTTGCTTGCAAGCACAGGGGAACAGTATCTGGCATTAGGTCCCCTTACATCTTTTCTGTAAAGGTGAACTAACCCTTTAAGTTTATTTTTTCCTGAAAATATGCATTTGATAAGCGGCTGCACAAACATTGTATGACACAGAAAATTGCAGCAGCCACCATTTTATTCTCCAGGGCCTCTGCTTTCAGAAAATATATAATGTTCGTGGGTTCTATGCAATTTTCTAGTAAAAAAATATATATGCTGATTTTTTTTTAACATGCATGTGAAATATGTAAACGAAAATTGCCCAGTAGACAAGCGGTTAATAATATGGTAGCTCTACTACCTGGGTTTTAATTTAAAAAAATATTTCCATTTTATCAATCGATGACTCTTCTGTAATTTAAAAAAGACAATTATGTGTTTTGAGCATATCTTCAATGGTGTGTCATGTCAGCATCTTTATTTGTACAAGTTTTACATGGAGAATATTAAAAATGTATATGCATCCTTAAACTCAGATATTACCAAGTCATATTGTCTTGAAATGCCATTGATCACTGCTCGGTGTTTGCAAGGGCCACTGATTTCATGAGTGCAGAGAAGAAATGATCTCATCTGCTGAGATGAAGAGCTAGTAAAGATACTGCATTTCCTGTGCATTTTATGGCATGCTTCGGTAACGGCTGTTCCCTAATGGTCGGCTGAATTGAAACCTGCAATGCAGTTATGATAAAAAAACAAATGGATCAACAGCACTATCATTTGCTGGAATGATGTAATCATATATATATATATATATATATATATATATATATTTATATTTTCCGTTCCAGATTATAGACCATAGTTCACTTAAACGACGCAATGAAAAGTAATCATACTTAAAGTGGACCTTTCAGAAATGAAAGCTGGAAATTGCCATTTCTGATGATAAACGCTCCAAAACTGTCATCCTTATTCTTCCTACCTTATTTGATGAATAGAATGATCAAAATCCCTAAAGCTTGCACCTCAGAAACAACTTTTGAATTGCAGCTTCCAATTTCTAATCAGACAATACACTGCACAGAGCACATGAAAACATAAAACAGACTATTAGTCACTAGAAACTCACTTTTTGCTTAACAAATAAAGTTCCAGTGTTTCTTGAGATTAGGCGTGAGGGCGGCTTTAAACAAAACGCAGTTCAGGAAAGGCGCATTATGCACGTGTTTCCCACGCTGCGTTCAAAACGCATTGCCTTTGAGATCTGCTGCCAATACATTACCGGCATCCCAAAAGCAGAATGCAGAATGCAGTGTGTTTGTGGTAACCTGATCGCATAGTAACGTAGTACCTGTTTTTCAAACGTAGTGCATGCATTACTTTTTGTGTGGTCAAATGTGATTTGCACTGTAGGGGAACAAACAGGAATTCTGGTGTAAATAGACCTTGAAAAAGTATGAGTGATCCAAGGATGCCAACTGTTAAACATATATAAAGGTAAACGTCCAGTATTTTTACTTTCATCACAAATACTAGCATACTGGCAGAAGTCGTGAAAATAATTCCTTTAGGCTTAGGAGACCAGCTGTGCATCCATATCTGCTGGTTTGTAATATCAGAACACACTCAATTACGGTGTCATTTATCCACTATCAAAGCAACTTTCAGATACCAATGTTTAAAGATTAACTCCACTTTCAGGGGAACAAATAGCAAACAAAAATAATAATATAGTGTATACAATTGTGAAACAAGTCATATTGTAATTAAATGTTATTAAAAATTACCTTTTTTTCCCTCAATCTGCAGCAACTGCAGTACAATATGGCTACCTGGAGGCGTACACAGATGGTATACAGAACGCCCCCAGAAATGTAATTTCCTGCTTGAGTTTATCACTTACCGATTTTCCCAGAAGTCTATACAAAGTTACAAATCATATTTTGAGCATCCCCTGTAACAACAATGTCATTTTTGGTAAGATACTCCCAAAGGGAAATCACATCTAAAGGGATGCAGACCCTGTCACTTTTTTCATTAGAGCCCTGGAAGTGCAGCAGCTGATTGAGAATTACAAAATCATTCCCATACTGATTCACTCTGTACATGGACACAGACAGACAAACAGCTATTTCCTCAAAGTAACAAAAGGTAGGAATCTGCAACAAAGTTTGTTAAAATCCCTGCAATGTACATAGATCACCCAGAGGGGAATATTTTTTTGTCAGCAAACGTGGAGTTACTCTTTAAGTGGTTAAGGATTCCACAATGGTGGCAGAATAAATTTCCCCAGTTCAGATTCTACTGTTCTATACAGGTTTTTTAAAATACTGTACCCACTCTGCCGTTGTCAAAATCTTGTGAGGGAGCGGACAATATGTAATAGTGGTCACCAACATGTGGTTCTTGTAAAAGATCTCTTTGATGTTGAACACAACCAAACCAGCAGGTGTTCACTGTCTGTTATAACACGTGCAGCAATATTGCAATGTTTAGAGTTGATCTTCACTGTATAGATTATATATATATATATATATATATATATATATATATATATATATATATATATATACACACACACACACACACACACACACACACACACACACACACACAATGGATATAAAAAGCCTATACACCCTGTTAAAATGTCAGGTTTCTGTGATGTAAAAAAATGAGACAAAGATAAATAATTTCAGAACTTTTCCCACCTTTAATGTGACCTATAAACGTTACAACTCAATTGAAAAACAAATGGAGATGTTTTCATGGGGGGGGGGGGGGGGGCTTTAAAGCAAGCATAAAAAACTAAAATAATATGGTTGCCTAAGTGTGCACACCCTCTAATAGCTGGGGATGTAGCTATGTTCCGAATTAAGCAATCAAATTCAAAATCATGTTAAATAGGAGCCAGTACACACCTGCCATTTAAAGTGCCTCTGATTAGCCCCAAATAAAGTTCAGCTGTTCTAGTAGGTTTTTCCTGACATTTTCTTAGTTGCATCCTACAGCAAAAGCCATGGTCCGCAGAGAGCTTCCAAGCATCAGAGGGATCTCATTGTTAAAAGGTATCAGTCAGGAGAAGGGTACAAAAGAATTTCCAAGGCATTAAATATACCATGGAACACAGTGAAGGCAGTCATCAAGTGGAAAAAATAAGGCACAACAATGACATTACTAAGAAGTGCATGTCCCTCCACAATGGATGAAAAGACGAGAATAAAACTGGTCTGGAAGGCTTCCAAGAGGCCTACAGCAACATTAAAGGAGCTGCAGGAAACATCCAAACCCTGCCAAATTTTGCAAAAACACATCTGAAGTCTCACAAAAGCATGTGGGAAAATGTTCTTTTTGGCTTTTATTCCAAAAGATATGCTTGGTGCAAAAACAACACTGCACAACATCACCAAAAGAACACCATTCCAACAGTGAAGCAAGGTGGTGGCAGCATCATGCTTTGGGGCTGTTTTTCTTTCAGCTGGAACTGAGGCTTTAGTCAAGGTAGAGGGAATTATGAGCAGTTCCAAATACCAGTCAATATTGGCACAAAACCAGGCTTCTGCTAGAAAGCTGAACATGAAGAGGAACTTCATCTTTCAGCATTACAATGACCCAAAGCATACATCCAAATCAACAAAGGAATGGCTTCACCAGAAGAAGATAAAAGTTTTGGAATGGCCCAGCCAGAGCCCAGAACTAAATCCGATTGAAAATCTGTGGGGTGATCTGAAGAGGGCTGTGCAAAGGAGATGTCCTCACAATCTGAAGTTTGGCAACTCAAACTTTCAGCTCCCTCCACAGATTTTCAATCGGATTAAGGCCTTGAGACTGGCTACTCCAGGATCTTAATGTGCTTCTTCTTGAGCCACTCCTTTGTTGCCTTGGCTGTGTGTTTTGAGTCATTGTCATGCTGGAACACAGATCCACGACCCATTTTCAATGCCCTGGCTGAGGGAAGAAGGTTCTCACCCAAGATTTGATGGTACATTGCCCCGTCCATTGTCCCTTAGATGTGGTGCAGTTGTCCTGTCCCCTTAGCAGAAAAACACCCCCAAAGCAGAATGTTTCCACCACTATGTTTGACAGTTGGGATAGTGTTCTTGGGGTCATAGGCAGCATTCCTCCTCCTCCAAACACAACGAGTTGAGTTGATGCCAAAGAGCTCGATTTTGGTCTCATCTGACCACAACACTTTCAACCAGTCCTCCTCTGCATCATTCAGATGTTCAGTGGCAAACTTCAGACGGGCCTGGACATTTGCTTTGCTTCTTGAGCAGAGGGACCTTGCGGACACTGCAAGATTTCAATCCTTGTCGGTGTAGTGTGTTTCCAGTTGTTTTCTTGGTGACTGTGGTCCCAGCTGCCTGGAGATCATTGACAACATCCTTACATGTAGTTCTGGGATGATTCCTCACTGCTCTCATGATCACTGACACTCCACGAGGTGAGATCTTGCATGGTGCACCAGACCTAGGGAGACTGACAGTTGTTTTGTGTTTCTTCCATTTGCGAATTATTGCAC